TGCGTAGCTTCTCGAGAACTGTAGTCACAACCCTCGCATTTCGTGCGATAAAAAAACCTTTGTGTATGTGCTCGTCGATACATGTTTGAGCTCTAAATGATCTCAATTTTAACGATATTGCTTTGGACGCAATGTGATTGAAATGCCGAAACACATACGGCCAATGTTTGCAGCAGAGACATGTTGACACTTGTCCAGTGTTCAATGAGAGCCATTCCTAACCACAATGTTTCCTGCACGTTTCACTTTCAACCTTACAAACTCTGACACAGCTGATAATAAGTGAAACGCTTCAGCTGTGCTTTGCTCAATACGTTCTGCCTTGACTACTGACTTGTTGATTTCTGTGTTTTGACGACAAGTATCCTGTTGTGGAAAGTTGTAACCACAATCGATCGTCACAAACAATGACACAGAATATCAAACCATGTTCCAACTTCTGGTCTCTGTATGTCTTTACTGCTGAGATACAATCGACCAAGTCCTTTCTAAAAAGATTATAAATCGTGCCATACGAGTTGCCTTTGTGTGTATTTTGTTGAGATTGAATATGAATATGGAAAGTTTATTGACAGTTATATGTTCAGTGTCCTACTGAGATAGTAACATTGTAATCGTCCAATGATGATTCCACATGGGGACACTAAAGGAAACATAAATGAGGTGTGCGTCACATTCATTGACAGTTCCAAAGTCCACAGCAAAGATGACTGTATCATGATGCAATTGTGCTGGCACTGTGACTGTTGTCAGCTTCAGCCTGGGTCAGATGACATATTCGTGACACATTAAGTACATTGTCGGAGTAAGTAAGTCAATGCTCATCCACTAAAACTACGATCACAGTCTTACAATAGTTTTGTTTGTATTTTCTGTGCCCAACATTACAGAAGCATGACTTTCACTGAGCAGTTTTGTTTTGATACATTCATATGAACAAATAAACAGATGTGGAGTAGATATCTGGGAGATGTGTGGGAAGATGACACATTGTAATTACATTGACATTGTGAAAATTGCAACTGAACATGCAACAATTCATTCTCATAAGTTTTGAAAAATATAAGGAACTCATCGCAAAAGACCTTCATTCAACATCACCTTTAAAACCATGTTTGTTTGTTTGTTTGTTTGCAAAAGTAAAATGTGTTGCGCTTACAAAACACCAATGAACAGCACATAGCCTCACATATGTTGCTTCATATAATATGTATGTTTTGTTTAGGGTTTCTATTGTCCATTTGGTTTATAAAAACGTAAATAATGAACAACCTCATAATCCTGAGAAAAGTTTGATTGATGTTATCATATGGAGCTCTATCTGTAGGCACACGCAAACTTACAATTCAACTACTGACACAGTATAATCAAAATCGTAAAAATGTGTGTTTTAACTATTGGATAAATTACCAGTGCAATTGTTCTGATCACATCTTATCTCGTAGCAGAACTCAACATCCATGCAAAATAGATGGGATGTAATGGTGACTACTCAGCCTCGTCAGTAACTAAAGGACAAAACAAAGAGCAGAGAGTAACAAAACAACCCGTCTGATCTAAACATTAATCAACTTCAATGTGGACATGACAACCATATTTTAGTGTTGAGAATTAATGATTCTCTATTTAAGCTCGTAATAATTGAGAGGACGCGTTTTTCTTGTTTGCATGACCAAACGAGGGATAGCTACTGCCTTACAAAATTAGAAAACATGTTTACAATACAATAAATTAATATATGGATGATTAATAAAGGAGCTATTAAAACGTGTTAATAATCTGCAGCCATTACGACATGTAAACAGTTTTACTAATGGAAAACTTTTCCCAGTGCCTTAATACAATGCTTGCGTTCATACTGCCCATATTTTTTAAAACTGATACATGTCTTGAGCGTTTGCCTTTACATATAACCAGCAGAATATCTGCACCTGTACACAGGAGATATGGTTCAAAATAAACATATAATTTTATTAGTTTCAACAAAAACAGTAAATGCACTGGCATGTCACTGAACTTCCTTGTTCATTAACAACTTCATTGTCTGGTCTGTTTCCCGACAACTGTTGCTTGGCAGGGGTCCTGCTGTCGGCGCCGGGCAATACATCCTTAATTTGTAACATTAATGGAGCATCAGCTTAAACAAAGTTGCTATCATCAGATTCAAGGCCCGGATCTCTTTTGGGACGTTTCCTGTTGTCTTCATCTACTGATCCAACCCAAATCATAAATGAACCCCCTTCATGCTGGTCATGTTCGGCTGCGTTTGAATCGTGAACTTCCGAACAAAGCATATATAGAGATGTTTACAACAATAATATAAGCAGGTTACAATGAACATGGCTAATTCATATTAAAATGTTTTAAATAGCTAATCAAAAACTACACTTCTGAAAGAATATATCCAAGCTTGAGGGAACATGGCATATTGATATGTTACATGCTCATGATGTAGGTAATGACGGTGATAACAGTAACTAACATAGGTGAGGAATGGTAGTTATAAGTAGGATGTAAAAGGTTGAGGGACTCACTCTTTGATTTAGCCATGTACAAGGTTTAACGTCTTGGCTAAGATACCAGTTAAGCGTTACATGTGATGGTTATTCTGCTGCAAACGAATACGAAATCTACAGACAGAAACGATGTGTAGGATATAAACCTCATCCATATTCTACAGCACTGACTATTTATGAATTGTTGTAGTCCTTGTTATTCTTAAATATGGCTGGGCACATACATACGCGACACATTCTCACCAATAACAAATTGAATCAAAACACATTTACTCCATCCTTCTGCTGTATTTATTGTTCTTTTGGATTTACACATTTGTTTTTAGTAAAGTGGTCAATGTATCAATGTGTGAGATTTTAACTGCTTTGTAACTTGTATGCGATATAAGATGCTTTGTAGGTGCACATATAAATAAACATGCTTCTCTGTCTGTGTGTGATCCCTTAGTGTTAGCTGGTAAAGACATATACAAAGGAACTGCGGGGTTTCTCAAGAACTGTAGTCATAAACCATACCTGTTGTGCGACAAACCAACTTCACTATGTCAGTTTTTGTGCGTGCTGGTACGTGGGTGAACGTGACATGTTCTCAGTGTACACCATTTTCCCCTTGGAAAAAATGTCTAAGAAATATCGCCACCAACACTGGCAGCGTATGAAGCAGTGACATGACGATAATTGATCAGAGAGCCGTTCCAAACTACTGTGGGCGACCATGTTTCACACTCTGATTTCCCACCTAACTGTTGTGACAAAGGAGAGAATATGTCACTCGTTTGTGTTTATTCCAATGTATATAATATGTACAGCCAAACACATTACCATTGAGGAGCTGTATAAATACTTTCAAGTTAAATAATGTAGCAGTGCATGTTTCAATACGTTCTTTCTTGACTACTCACTTGCTGATTTCTGTGATTTGACGACGCTTAACATACTGTGACAAGTTCAACCGATATTCGATAGGCATACTATTACACACACATTAGTTAGTCAACTTGCCTGTCCACATAACCTTTGTGACTTTGACCATGTGAGGGCGAATTATCAAACTTAAGGTGCCTTGCTTACATTTACGATCGATCAACAAAGCGTCAATGTCAAATATCAAATCCATAACCTATGTATAAATGTTAAGAAATAAAGAGGAATGGTTTCAAAAGTCAACTTCCCTTTTACATCAAGCAATGTTTCAGAAGTTCAAGGCTTTAGTGTCTACATGTCTACAAGTTTTGAGGTACAATCGAACATGCTCTTTTAACAAAGATGTCAATGCCTTCCTTAAGCTTTGAAAAACTGTTTATGGTAGACAGTCATGTGGAATAAATTTTCAATTTCTTTTGACGCAGTTTACCTACAAAATGATTTCAACTTATTTTGCCTTATGTTCCCGTCGTTGGTTAGGCTAACACGTGACTTGTCATGAGGTTCCTGCAGCAACTACATAAACAATAACTGTAAACACATGTAAAATTATCATAACTATAAATGCATTATCCCTTATCATGCCTGGTTTGTTATCATACTAGGATTTTAGGCAATGACTTGTTTATAAAGGGCAACATGTATATATTTTTGTTAGCCAGTATATCGTCATTGCAAAAGTATGCTTTTGATATGTTGAGAGCCACATTAACGCTTACAAATTATAATGGAATGCGTATGTCCAAATAGTCACACGTTCAATATTTTTTCCATATTTGTCTCACTGCAAGCAGCAGATATCAACATAATATTAACTCGAGGTCGAAGTGTAATATCCAGAATACAGGGAAGTTGATACATGCATGGAACAAACTGGCTCAGATTAGTTGAATGTGTCAACACAGATATTTGTGTTTGCTGGTGATGTGCAAGTACCTGCATGCGACTGATATGTTTAATTTTAGTAGTTTGCAAAAGAGTTGTGTGTTTGCTGATGTTAACTGTCAAATACAATGTTGGATTGTTCACAATTTAAGCTGAGACACAAAACACTATTATTTCTTTTCACAAAGGCCACCATACAGAAAGGTGTTGAAATGTTATGTAGTCTATACAACATTTAGCTGTAACTAGTTTTTGATAGCAATAGAAAGGCACAGTAACACGTACAAAAGTAAGAACTGACAATAGTCAAACTTTGATTATTCCATCTGATCTTGAAATAAAAAAACTGAACTCTTCAAAACTCACTGCTTACAGACTGTGCTGATATTTGAGCGAAATATAAGTCGTGAAGGTGAAGGTTATGTGCTTATTATTACTTTCTTACATGTTATATGTGAAGGAAGTGACAGCGCATGTGTGTGTGAGCTCGAAATTTTTCATTGGCCAAAATATTCGGACATCTGAATTAATTATTGTTTCTGAATACAATATGATATGTCACATGTTGAAACTAATATCCAGTATACTATTAGTAATAATATCTTCCGTGTAAAGAGGAAAAGCTAGATCCTGTAAATTAGGTCACCATGAGTCAACCTCATAGGTTTATTGAGCCAGCAGATGAACACATCGCCCATTAACGCTACGCTGATCACACAAGTGAGTTGCATTACCACTTCTTTAATCAGTATCATACCATGCATATATGTGTAAGTGTGTATTGTGTATCTGGGCATGTTGTATATGACATCTATTTCTATGTGTGCTGGCTTGTGGTACACTCATGTTCTCAGTTCATCACATGTGTTTTGTGACATGTGAATCCCTCTTCCCAGTGCCTAGTATTTAGTGCATCATTGTCGGTGCTTATTGTCCTGCTGGCTTCCATTTGTCTATTGTCATTTTCTTTCTATGACCTATCACTGATAATTATCCACCCCCCACCCCCCACCCCCCTCCCCCACCCTCCCCACCCCGTCGTGTTAGCTTCCATTTGTCCATTGCCTATAACCAATCAGTTATAAGCTAAGTGTTAGCTTATATTTGTCCATTGCCTATAACCAATCAGTTATAAGCTAAGTGTTAGCTTCCATTTGTCCATTGCCAATAACCAATCAGTTATAAGTTAAGTGTTAGCTTTCATTTGTCCATTGCCTATAACCTACCAGTTATAAGTTAAGTGTTAGCTTCCATTTGTCCATTGCCTATAACCAACCAGTTATAAGCCGAGTGTTAGCTTCCATTTGTCCATTGCCAATAACCCATCAGTGCCGATTATCTGTTGGCATCCTTTACAACGTTTCCTCCTCTGTTATCTTATTGCCTCCTAACATTTAGTAAAGGAGTGAAGGAGTAAATATAATACTCCAAAACGTTGTATTCCTCATTATAAAGACGACGACATCCATACATTCTCATACATTATGTGTATCAATTCTAAATGCCTTTCAATGACTTTATATTGTATATGTCATCTTCTTAATTGCAGCTGCATCATGCCTGCACTGATGGTAGTGTCCATTGCTTACCTGGTCACATCTGCAGGTAAACATTCAGATAAGGTCTTACTACTTCTGAACAACTCCTGAAGACTTCTCCCAGCTTCGATATTAATCCCTATAAAAAGCATAAAACATCCTATCACGAGTCATCTACCCATGCGTTCTAAATCTGTTTAAATATATTTGTTTGGTGTGTGAGATAATAATACCTGTCTGTACTTCACGATTTACTTTGTGTTTGGTTTCCAGCTGCCAGTTGCAGTGAAAATCAACACTGCCGAGACTGTGACAGCAGGAGTGGCTTTTGCCTAACCACGTGTGACAGTGGTTATTACGACCTTAAATGTAGGTCTCTTTGCAGCAGCAGCTGTAAAAATAAGAAATGTAAACCCGTGAGCGGTGGCATTGAAGTGTGCACAGAGGGTTGTGTTCCAGGATTTCAAGGCGTAAGGTGCAAAATACCATGTGAAAGTCCAGGAGGTAACTGTAAAGCATGTCCAGGTGGTTGTGATGGAGGATACTGCCAGCTTAATTCATCCTGTGTATCAGGATGTAATGGTTCCTACTATGGGTCTGACTGTAAAGAATGTTCCAGTAGATGTAAGACATGCAATGGCTTTACAGGGATGTGTGAGGACTGTTTTTCACAATATTTTGGACCAAACTGCGAGTATTTATGTGAAAACTGTAGGGACACGTGTGTATTTGGATGCCTGGATGGCTGTGTACCTGGCTTTTATGGTACTGCCTGTGAGAAGGAATGCAAGACAAACTGTGGTTTCAGCCCAATGATGATAGGCAATAAAACTGGAGACACACGACCTGTAATTAATGACACAGTTGAATGCAATCAGTACAGTGGTGACTGTCGTCATGGGTGTGTAGATGGCTGGTTTGGGCCACAGTGCTCCTCATGTTGTAATATTAACTGTAGGAATGGGAGATGCAACGATGCAGGCGACTGTGTAGATGGGTGTGTAGATGGATGGTTTGGGCCACACTGCTCCTCACGGTGTAATGTTAACTGTAGGAATGGGAGATGTAACGGTACAGGGGACTGTGTAGATGGGTGTGTAGATGGATGGTTTGGTCCACACTGCTCCTTACAGTGTAACGGTAACTGTAGGAATGGGAGATGTAATGATACAGGCGACTGTGTAGATGGGTGTGCATCTCATCATTTTGGAAGAAACTGTATACCATGCCCTGACAACTGTATCAACCACACATGTCATACAAGCCATGGAACTTGTGTTCATGGATGTACTAATGGATTCTATGGACAATCGTGTAACAACACGTGTGAATTCTGCCTTGATGGAGAGTGTGACCAGATGACAGGAATGTGTTTCAAAGGCTGCAACACAACCGGACACAAATGCACACCTATCTGCAGGAACAACTGCACTGTGGATGATTGCCGATCATGTCAGGGTGAGTTAATATCAAGGGAAAGCACATCGATGTGCATCATAATTGAAATATAAATGATGAATCAAAAGTATGTAGGTTAATGGCAATGCATCATGTTTTGCGGTTATGCCACACAGATCAAGGTCGTTTATATTTCCTTTTGTAAATGAACCCCCTACATGGTCTAGTGGTAGAGTGTCCGCCCAGAGAGTGGAAGGTCCGGAGTTCCATCCCCGACGCGTCGGACCAAAAGGCGTAAAAAAGATGGTTCCTCTTTAGCATTAAGGGGTGCTACATATTTCCGTGAAACTGCCATTTGTTGCCTATACGTTTAAAAAAAATATGTTTGTGCTCACAATATTCTTTTTTTAATGTGACAGTGTAACACATCAGTGATACAATAGCTGTGTATCTGTCATAGTCGAGATACTTAATATTGTAATACTATATTCTAAAACATATTGCACAGAGCAGATTTATACCATTATTATCAAATATTGGCTTTCCAGATGAGAATGGGATGAACGAGGCAATCGGACTGTGGACTGGGCTTACACCTGTGGGCATTGTGATTGTAATGCTAGCATGCCTGCATTCCATCAAACGTTGGAGAACTAAAAGGTACCTACATGACAGGCAGATGGTTCCGTATCTCTTGCAATAGCTGGCTAATGATTCGCAATTATCTTAACACTAATTCAGACAAAACCTGACAATTATTGAAATGTACTCTGTATACTTGAATCAATACGCTAGTTCACTCAATTTTGTGAAGGCACTTCACAGCTTGTATTGCTGTCTAATCTTCCTCTTTATTGTTGCAGAGCTCAACAATCATCAATTGTTCAACACAACGAGGAAGGCGTTCAGGATGATATATATTCTGTAGAATACCAGGCCATAAACAGATATTGGCAGATCAGAGATGAAGATATAGGCATATCCTGTGTACCACCAGCTGTGAAGCAAGAGGAATGTGGGCATAGGCTCTCCATGCCAGTGTTGGCAGAATGTTTTTGTACAACAGTAGGTGGAACATACAATGATGTATCCGTGAGTTCTGCTGGAGAAACCCAGTCCTCCACTCATATGCCACAGAATGTTGCAGACAGTGGTGCAACCCAGAGCTCTGCTGGAAAAACCCAGTCCTCCACTCATATATCACAGGGTGTTTCAGACGGCGAATCATCCCCGAGTTCTGCTGAAGACACACAGTCCTACATTCATATATCACATGATGTTGCAGGCAGTGGTGCAACCCAGAGATCTGCTGGAGACACACAGTTCTCCACTCGTATCCCACAGAGTGTTGCAAGCAGTAGTGCAGCCCAGAGTTCTGCTGGAAACACACAGTCCTACACTCATATGCCACAGGATGTTGCAGGCAGTGGTGCAACCCAGAGTTCTGCTGGAGACACACAGTCCTACACTCATATACCACAGTATGTTGCAGGCAGTGGTGCAACCCAGAGTTCTGATGGAGACACACAGTCCTACACTCATATACCACAGTATGTTGCAGGCAGTGGTGCCATATGTCCATATGCGACATGCTGGACTTCCTCATTGATAACATCCATGTAAAATTTTGGAAGATGAGACACTGAGGCAAACGTAAGCATCCCCATGGGCATTAATTGCGCTCCCCTTCCTGAGAATCTATTTCTTTATGCATATGCATCGGAATTTATGCTCGGATTGGCAAAGTCAAAACAGGGCTATTTTGCCACGAAGTTTAACTTAAGCTTAAGTATGTAATCTATGAACTGATATCAATACCAATGCTCTTCCCCTGTTTTACCCACCTGAACTAGAAAATATGACACCAATGAAACATTCACATCTGTTTCATATTTTGATCTATGGATACAGAGGTTACAAGTTAAATTATAGGTTACAACATTGAATGCCTCAGTGAATATTTATGTTTTATTTGTTCAAATTTGACGCATCAGTGACATTAATGATGTCTGATGCAATTCCCTATTTTCTTCAAATTTGGGCTTTTAGGTCTCCCCTAAAAGAAGCCTTGCATATGCTTTTCGATTTCTCGACTTTCTAAATAGTACACAAAGTATCTCCCTAGTGATATGCCCAGCATAATATTATGGCCAATTACACCAATCTAATCCTCACTGTTTATGTTATGCTGTGTATTATGCTATGCTTTAAAAGCTGTATATAATTCTTTATTTTAATGTATTGCTCTATGCATTCTCCCATGTTTGCCCCAAACATGACTCTATATATCGCCTTGTAAATTCCTCTATATATTACATTTTGAATTACCCAAGAAATGGACAGTATTTTTACACTCACCCTGAGTATTTTGATATCTACTCACTCTACGTATTTTGTTATACATTACTCAGATATGTACCAACTAATTAATGTGTGTCTCGATTCCTTTATAAAGTTATGTCTTCTTGTAAATAAAATGTACACATGTGCAATTGTCATGTCTGATTCAAGATTGCTCGATTACCCGATCAAGACTCCATTGTTCACAGGCCGTACGGTAGGGGTACTGCTGTGCACGTTCAAGCAACACACAGGGACTTCAGTTTTATGCAAAGTTGTACCTTATGTTACAACTAGTATAAATAACACTATGTACTACACGAGTCGGTTGCCCTATGCATGATTCTAACGACACTTACTCAGATAAAGAAAACACTTGCGATACATGATGCGGAGCAGTCAACTACTGTGCCAATAGTTGTTTGAACTGGTACATCCTCCACCAATATACCCCTTTGATAAAAGTTTGCGAATGTGCTGACAGTTCTCCCAAAACACTCTTGATGACATCACTGAACAGTTGACAGTGGACCCTTGATGGTGGAAGCCAGGGCCGTGAGGATTATGTGCAAGACGAGGATCCCATCTTGCATATTGGCATGCTTACATAACGGTCGCCCTGAGTCAGAATGATCAGCCACTTCCACTGCTCACTGGAAGATCTTACCACAGGACTATTTCTGTTGGTGATAATCCTTGCACATCAGCCACTTCCACTGCTTACTGGAAGATCTTACCACAGGACTATTTCTGTTGGTTATAATCCTTGCACATCAGCCACTTCCACTGCTTACTGGAAGATCTTACCACTGGACTATTTCTGTTGGTTATAATCCTTGCACATCAGCCATTTCCACTGCTTACTGGAAGAGCTTACCACTGGACTAGTTCTGTTGGTGATAATCCTTGCACATCAGCCACTTCCACTGCTTACTGGAAGATCTTACCACAGGACTATTTCTGTTGGTGATAATCCTTGCACATCAGCCACTTCCACTGCTTACTGGAAGATCTTACCACTGGACTATTTCTGTTGGTTATAATCCTTGCACATCAGCCATTTCCACTGCTTACTGGAAGAGCTTACCACTGGACTAGTTCTGTTGGTGATAATCCTTGCACATCAGCCACTTCCACTGCTTACTGGTAGAGCTTACCACTGGACTAGTTCTATTGGTGATAATCCTTGCAGCGGCGTCTCAATTTGGAAATTGCCTTGGATATAACTCAGGAGAACAGATGCCAAGGTTCAAAAGGACCTCATTTGGGGTCATCAAACTCCTACAAATTGCATGGTATCACAGCTGTCATCAGCACTGGGTCACGATGATACTGCGGACTCGTCATCATGTCCAACATGTGCTTGGAGTCAATACTTTATTTTGGTTCAAAGGCAAAACTCTGTCAGCTCTATGAGTTCGTACAGCTGTGAGACCATGACTGAGTTTCCTGTTACTAGTATGTATGTACTAGTATGTATGTACTAGTAGGTATGTTCTAGTATGTATGTACTAGTAGGTAATTACAAGTTTGTATGTACTAGTATGTATATACTAGTATGTATGTACTAGTATGTATGTTCTAGTAGGTATGTACTAGTAGGTATGTACTAGTATGTATGTACTAGTAGGTATATACTAGTATGTATGTACTAGTAGGTATGTTCTAGTAGGTATGTACTAGTAGGTATATACTAGTATGTATGTACTAGTAGGTATGTACTAGTAGGTATATACCAGTATGTATGTTCTAGTATGTATGTACTTGTAGGTAAGTGCAAGTTTGTATGTACTAGTATGTATGTACTAGTATGTATATACTAGTATGTATGTTCTAGTAGGTATGTACTAGTAGGTATGTACTAGTATGTATGTTCTAGTAGGTATGTAAGTATCAGGGCCAATGAGGAGCTGTCAAAAGCAGTTGGATCTCTCCTCTTAATTATTTTCATGCCAGGTCCTACTGGTCTATAAATTCTTTGGAACCTATAAAGTAGATTACGGGCATGTATCATACCATTTGTTCGGACATGTGTAAACTGCACTGGACCCAAAGCCCAAATTTACAAACAAAAGCAAATACAGAAGGGAATGCATGTGTCAAGCTGTTTGGATAGAGCATCTGGGATACCTACTGTCAGTGCAGTATCTAGCTGCAGTATCATATATGGTAAATTTGGGTATACAAAAATCGCAACGGGAGACGTCTTAAGAATTTACAGTGATCTAAGCCTACTAAATAATACTTGTTTAGCCTGCAGACATATATTTATTTTATCTGACTTAGTCCATACGAGTGACCTACTCTATAAAATAGCTATATGTTTCTACCAAGAAATATTGTCCATGTGTACGCCTTTATAGAACCATTATTCATTTTTGACAAACTTCAGAGAATTTCAAAAGTTTTCAGCTTTGGTCTATTTTCCAGTCAAAGTCTTATTAAAACAAAATTTCAAGAACACTATGATGCTTAGTTTACACTATCATGTATATAATGTAAAGCGCATTAGATTCTCCTTACACATTTGACATTAGGCCTTCTTTCAAAGTTAGTCTTTATTTTCAAATCCTTCCATGCTACATGTTATTTCAGCTGTTTCTATATCCCTAAAAAAAATATTGTTTCCCGATGGTTATATCTCAACTCAAATAATGGCATGCTTGCCCTTTCAGCGATTACCTGCTATCTTCACTGACTGTGTGATCGGGTGTTGACTTGGTTCATTCATGTCATCGAATCCAAATTGCATAGATCGATGCTGATGGCGTCCATCACTGGAGTGTCTGGTCCAGATTCGATTATTTACAACCAGTCATACAGCTGGAATATAGCTGCGTAATCAGGTGATCAGCATCGTTGTGGGGAGTTCAATCTGTTATTGGTGCACTTTATCAGACAAACGTTATGTCATCATTTCTTCACCTTCTGAAACAGGGATTGGGACACGTACTTGAACCGGAACGAATATTAACATCTTGGAACCGACGATAAACTGCCGTTAAAAGGACACGCAAACAATATATCTTAATACTTTAACGAATTCCGACGGTCTTATCAGGGCATGTAATATATTAACTGTGTGTATTGCATTGTAATTCCAACTTGAAAGTGTATGAATACCTATACAGTATCTACTTTTTTTTTTTTAAAATCGCCATTTATTATTTAGCATTATTTCTGCACAAGAAGCTCATGCATCTTAAACTTGAACAGCATTGATTGTGTTCATGCTATCAACCACCTATTTACCTGGAGTGGAATCGATTAGTATGATCACTCACATGCCGTTATGACTCAACATTCACTTGTTACCTGGTGATTGATAACAGCTGACAGTGTGGGTTACATTTGGAAACGTTGGTAAGCGAAACCATGTTGATGACGAACACAGGAAATAGAAAGCATGACTATGCCATGGCTGTTTGACTATGCCCTTCTATGTTAGCATGATACATATTCAGTGTACATCGATGCATTTGCAGATATTCGCGATTCAAATCACAGCCTCAAGCACGTACTTTCAGTGATTTCAATGCAGGTCATGTCACTCCTGAATAAGGTCATGCTATCATACACTGAATCATCTGGAGTTGTTCATTCGATCATCTGCGGGTTTCTAAGAAGTTGCCCGCCAGCAGCCACAGATTGAACCCGGAAGTGCTGATACTATCAACCAATGAACTTTCTGGACATGCTCATGTCATCAACCACGGATGTCTCGAAGTTGTTCATCCTAACAACCACTGACGTATGTGTTTGTGCTCATGCTATCAACCACTAAATTACCTGGACATTTGCATGTCATCAACCACGGATGTCTCGGAGTTGTTCATCCTAACAACCACTGACGTATGTGTTTGCGTTCATGCTATCAACCACTGGTATACCAGGAGTAGAATCGAGTACTTACAGGCCGCCGTGAATCAACATTCACTTGTTATCTGGTGATCAACATTGCTAACAACTGACACGAAATGGTGTGTCCTATTGGTTACATTTAGAAACGTCGGCGTGAGAAGCCATGTTGATCACAAGTACTTGCATAGAGCACGGACACAGTAGTATGAATGTTGTGAATGTGTGACTGTGCCCTTCTCTTTGACTTCATGAATGTCCTGTCAGCACAATACATATCCAGTGCACGCCAATGCATGTATAGATGTTCGCAATTCCAATTACAGTCTCACGCAAGTGATTTCAAGGATTTCAATCTGCCACTGGCGGAGAGCCATGTCACGTGACTGATTATATAGCATAGCATACACTTCAAGTTGACACCCCACACATATGAAGCGTAATCTAGGCCAAGTCATTCCTTAGGTATGGGTAGAATGGCCCCGCGGGGTGGAAGGTAGTCAGCAATTGATGAATGAAAAAAACACAGCTTGGAGCATTGATACAGCTAGCCCTGTCCCATAACCCAGAGTAGGCTACACCCATGCTGTTTTCCCGGGAAATAAGACCGTCACTGGAAGCCTGGGCTGTCTGTATTGATACACTATGCAGGGGTGCATTTGACTGTTCTGTCACTATGTACCTGGATATGTGGGGATAGTCAGCAGTGTGGATTGAGCTGGGTAGGTAAGTGTTGTGTGCGTGGTCGAGCTGGGGAGGCATGGGGGCGTTGGAAGTCTGAGGTGGGTGGGAGAATATGGGATTAGTGTGTGTGGGGGTGGGGTGTGGGGCTGGGGGTGGGGACGGGGGGTGGGGGCTGGGGTAGGGGAGGTATTGAGTGTACACGTAGGTGGTCAGATGCTGGGTTGACTGAGGAAATCATATCCGTTTTTGAGTACGAAGGTGTTGAAATACTAGATACAAAGGTGAATCGACTCTTGATAAATATTTTTTACTCACGATTACGATTCACAAAAGTACGAAACCGCCACAAGTTATTAAAGCACTCCTGGACTATCAGTAAATTATAATAAACGATCTTCAGTTTAAATGAATAAACATAAATATTCATATGTACAAACATATGTACATAGAGTGCATATATATGTGTTTGAAATATATTTTGAACTAAACAGCAGAGGGAGGTTTCAAATGTTACATTTAGAGTGGATAAATCTACAGGTAACATAACTTGACCTTGTCAGTTTATGGAAGAACACTTGTGAGAACAAAGGGAGAGATCTGGCTTGTGTTGCTTTATTTTCTGACTATGAACTGCCACTATCCTTCTCCGAGCACGTCAAAGTGTTGAGTTCCACGAACAGCTTATCAGTGTATCTGATGAACAGTTTCTGTTTTTGATAACTGATACCATTGCATGCATGTAAACCGGTTCAATAGTGAGTGAGTTGGGTTTAACGCAGCTTTTAACAGTATTCCAGATATATCACAGCGTGTCAGCTTAATGTGGGAGGAAAGCCCGAAGTGATGCAGGTCTTAGTCGTTTACCACTTCAGTGAAACCCACGAGCACGGGTATGGTGCTGACAAACCTTGAAACATAATCGGGGCGAACCGGGATTTGAACCCACAATCATAGGTTTCTGGCGTGGCCAGGGGACGCAACTCTGCACAGCGAATCGCGGCGCCTTAAACGACTGGGCCACCCGTGCCCCACCGGTTCAATAGAATAACCAAGTCGTGAATAAGAGATGAATACATACAGGATTTTTCTCTTCCAAGCAGGCTTCATATCAACAAGTAAATAACTCTTCAAGCCATGCTGAGTCCAAGCACAGTTCTGTATTTCAGTGAGTACATTCTTTCTGTACAAAAGTATGCTTAAATACGATACATTGACTAAATGAGCAGCAAGTGAATTTCCCGGTTACCGCGAGTTTCGAACAGTAACGTAAAGGAGAAGGTGTACGTCTAGAAAACCACATGACCGAATATGAATATGGTCCGTTTGAACCATCCCCTAACTATGACAAAACATTCAACAGTAAATACTATTGCTGTATCACTCTGTACTATATATAATGACATGGCAATAAATATGGTCGATATGCTGTTACTTAACATTTGCAGTAAATGTTTTACATTCAATAAAATGAAAACACAACCTTGTGTTATTTATCACAGTCATTTTAGTATATGAAGCCACGTTTAAATTTATATCAACATACACAATAGATGTGCATAATAAATGATTTGTTTTAAGGATGTGATAAGAAAATACCTTAATCAATGGCACGGTCAGTGAAAGATAGTTACTGCAGGAAGTGGTTTTCTGAATGTGAGCAAACAGCTCTATGATTGTTTTACCCATCAAATATTTACACGTTTCTTTAATACAACTTCTGGGTGTCTTCCCTGCTTTCATTCATCTCTATTTTGTCACATTTTCAGCAGTACTGACTCATGCAGTCACAGCATGCGAGTGGGGCAAACATGGGGAGAACTGTGACAAACCTTGCCTCCCAAACTGCCAGGTTAACCTACAGAGGAACCTCACACACTGTAACAAGAACACTGGAGAGTGCTCCGATGGCTGCATCCCTGGATGGTATGCTGCTCAATGTGACCAGCCTTGCAGCAAGAAATGTCTGGACAACGTCTGCAGTCATCAGAATGGACAGTGTACAAAGGGATGCAGTGGAAACAACACAGGGGATTTTTGTGAGATCACTGAAGGTATGGGATGCTAAATGGTTTCACATTGTTTAATCGAAACGTTTCTTCATCAGGTGTATCTGCGATTCTTCATAGGCACCTTTTCGAAGTTGACGGATGATGAAATAGAAATCCTGTTTTTCATGCAATGATTCCTCAGTGCCAACAACTATTGGGTATTGCAATTTGCAAAAATAAATATAAATTTAATATCACCAATTGTGATAGAAATATGTTTGTTGGTTTTTTAAGTAAAAAAAGTCTGAACTATTTATTATCTCATTTCTTTGTTTTTTTGTATAACGCCCCACTCAGCAACACTCCTGCCATATTAGGTCTTATAGCACATTTGATCCCAAATGGATGTGGTATATTCCTGAATGAACTCCTCCATACAAATCAGCTTGTATCAGTTTAACATTGGTTTCATTGTTACATATTTGTTGACCACTAGTACATATCATCTGCCTATTTAATCGAACACATACATCAATTAGAATATGAATAATTATACAATGTTATTACATCACAAAACTTTATAACAACATTGGAATCTAGCATTAAGAACATACTACAAGTAACACCTCCATTTATCACGTAAAATATATCAATAAGATGATGCGTTTGTACGGTTGTACATGGGCAACGTTTATTTCAACAGTATTAATAAGGACATACGTCAAGGCGACAACAGATGAAACAACAGGACTGTCAACGGCACACCTCGCAGTGATCATCACAATCTCCCTTGTGGCCATTATTGTTATCATCGTCGTAACCGTCGTCATAAGACGTCGACGCCAGAGGTAAGTAAAACAACATTTCATATAATCTTCATGAAAGCATGACTTGCATTTCTAAGATTATTTCTGTGTACTCTTACACAAAGCCTATATGGTTTAAAAGAAGATGACTCTTTGATAGTACTAACACTAGGGAGTAAAAATACAAATGCAAGTTATGTTTTACATGTACCCAGTTCTACAACATTACGAAAAACAGAACACCATTTGGAATTATCACGTCCTCGATGCCACAAGTGAAAATTTGAACAACGTCAATAATATAAGCAATAAATAAGCTTAAATACCCTCTATTTTTTTCAAGTGAACCAGCAATAATACTTTTCTTCTTTTTACATACGTATGACAACAATTGTTCCTTAGAAAAGTGACATGAATGACATCTAGCAAGCGCTGTCTATTTGCTGTTGTGTTGTTTTTTTCCGAAAGAGCTGTTCCCGAAATAGGTTTAACTTTACACGTCTGAATAACAAATTCGAGTTTGTGGAAAGGTGGCTGAGACAGTCGTGATTTCTTACAATAAACTTACTGCTTGTGACCTATACATCAGTGGACGTACAGTGTACTTGTTATCCACTGGATGACCATGATTGTGTCTATCAAATTACTCTCAGAACTAATGATATGTCCTTATTAATTGCAGAAGAAAGTCAACCGGGAGTCAGACAGGTAATGTAGCAAACGACATTAGAGGGTTAGATATCTTCACACATGGTAACTGCCACTGGGTAATTGACCCTGGGAAACACCACCATTTTTATTCCCAACTCCGCATTCCGCCCTCTGGGAAACTGATCCTAAAGCCTTTCTCAAACACCAGACATCATCACTATTTGAAATTGACTCAAATTGAAATTTGAAATTGAAATATATTAGTAGTTGCACTCGTACAATGACCTGCTTTTAGTGAGGCTATTTTAGTAGGATATTATGCTGATGGATTGTTGTGTGTCTTTGGTTGATTTTGTTCACGATGGCAACAGTAGGCCTAAACTTACATCTAGCACGTGCATGTATATTTACAACTCTAGAACTGTACTCAGTATGTCATTGTCCCGCAATGATGGATTGAGGCTGATTTTATGCAGCACAACAAAAACATAGTTAGCAATATGCATTTCTGTGATCTCCTTGTGTGGCTGATGTACAGAGTAGGGTCGGGTTGGCGGTTGATGTTAGTTGTATCTCTTCGGTCCTCGTTGTAACCTACTACAGTGTAAAGGCCCGGGTTATAATTGGTCTTCAGCAACTCATGCTTGTCGTAACGGTGATCAACATCGCTGACTTAAAGAAGTGCATGCAGTCATTCCCCATTCGCGGAGATCGATGCTCATGTTGTCAGTCACAGGATTGTCTGCTCCAGTCTCAATTATGTACGTACCAACATCATCTTGCCCCGGGGAAAACCCTCGTCATCAGAGTCAGTCACTTCGTGAAAAAAAAGATTGACAAAGACCATTACACATAAATAAAAAAATATATGTCAAAATCAATATATTAACACTTTTATTTTAATGCAAAAACACTATAATCCACTTGGATTGAGCCTTTTGACATATTTCAATCTTTCATAATTGGGGCATCATCAAATTTGACCCATCAATTATAAATATTGAAAAGCGATGCATATCCCTACTTTAACATGTACCAGTCATTACTTGTCGTCAACTCACCAAATCAGTAGTCAGGCCTCTGCCAATATTTGAGTCATAACAGTTGCATTAAGCATGTTTTCAGCTATCATGAACCCAGACTCGAAAATAGAAAGGACTAACAATAACAGACTGTTTAGTTTCATCAAGATCAGTGATGGTACTCTCGTGTCACTACATTTTCTTGTTCATCGATCACTTGATTGTCTGGTTTGTTTACAGGCTGACGTCACATGGCAGGGGTACTGCTGTGTTGCGTCAGGAAATACATACTTACTTTTGTTATGCAATTTATATGAATGGCGGGTTCTACCGGTAGGGCAGGACATGTTTACCCTTTTGGCGAACATCTGCCGTCATCACTGATTTTCAGTGGTCCATTCACACAATTTCATCAGTTATTTGCCCTTCACGCCAAGTTGAATCTGTTTCGGTAGAAAACCTAGGCGGATTATTTTCTTCCATTGTCAATGCATATTGTGTTGATAAGCCTACCCACTCAATCAGCACAATCTGGAAGTTTTTTTTCTAATTCCACTGAATCGCAAAATAGTTTAGTTTAAATCATGAATATAATTTTATATATTATTTTCCTAATAATATAATCGCACGTTATGCCTTTATCTGATTTTTCCTTTTTTCTTCTCTTTTTCCAGCGTGTACTGACCCTGAGAATCCTGAAGACGTGCCTTTACTGCCAAGTAGGTAACCATAACAACAGAGTGATGTTGTAACAATGATGTTGCATGTATTCTCACATATTCCGTAACACTGTGAAAGGGAAACTAACATCACTAGAAAGTGTCTTGACTTTCACATTGTCAACGCAAGTGCCTTTATACGTTATTGTCCTATCAATCAGAAGTAAATGTGAATTGTTTTGAGGGTGTAACAAGCTCCCGATCAACGTGATCTATGTTGCTTAAGGTGGATACATCTGAATATGTGAGACTGAAGTAAGATATTAACTATCAAAGTTGTTTGTGGTTTATCTGAATCTTGGAGTTATTGCATTAGACATGCATTTTATCGAAGAGAAGGCACAGCGTTAATCCAGAAGCGCTAATACCTTTGTTCTTGAGTTTGATATAGGATTTACCTTTCGAAGTTATATTGCTTTTGGCAAACACTTTCAATACCCAAAGGCATGTCATTAAACCGGGAGACCTTAGAAATTTGGCATCGTGCTCGCGGCGGGCACATACTTTCCTGTTTTAAAACTGTACCGCAATGGACATGTGCATATTCTAACCAGAATGTGTTACAAAACTGGGAATGCGTTTAGGGTGGCTTTAGCCATTTCACAACATTATGATACCGGTGAGGTTCTCTTCCTCCATACTTAGTAAAGTGATACGGTTCATCAGACAAGGTTCTGTTGGGAATGTTTTGGGCCATTGAGGACTGTTCCATGGCAATACTGCGCTTGAATAACTGATCTAAAGTTAGACAGACAGACAGAGTTAAATCAGTGTTCAAGACCTCCGGCCCATAACAGAAAAGTATACACGATACATTTTAATGCGTGCATCATTATCTAGGAACATCTAAATATTTTGTACTTTAAACGTCAGAGACACGGATTTTGGGAACTTTTGATAGAAATAGGCAAATACATTTAGGATTTTGTTTTCAATCAGTGGACAATAGAGATATACACGTCGCAGCTGTGGGTGGGTACTTGTTATTCCTCCTCTATAAGGTTCACATTCCTAGCATGGCTGTACAGGCACAGTTGTTCCTCACGCTGACGTCTTAGAATGTCTTCCACATTCCGTTGTGAGTCTGAAGGTGTCCCATCGGAATCAGTTTGTCTGTCAGTGCCAATATATCCAAAAAAGGTGTCTTAGACAGCAGTGTATCTGACAGTGCCAAATATCACCCATATGGTGTCTTTGACAGCAGTCTGTCTGTCAGTGCCAATATCACCCATGTGGTGTCTCTGACAGCAGTGTGTCTGTCAGTGTCAATATCACCCATGTGGTGTCTCTGACAGCATTGTGTCTGTCAGTGCCAATATCACCCATGTGGTGTCTCTGACAGCTGTGCGTCTGTCAGTGCCAATATCACCGATGTGGTGTCTCTGACAGCTGTGTGTCTGTCAGTGCCAATATCACCGATGTTTTGTATCTGACAGCAGTGTGTCTGTCAGTGCCAATATCACCGTTGTGGTGTCTCTGAGAGCAGTGTGTTGGTCAGTGCCAAAATCACCAATGTGGTGTATCTGACAGCTGTGTGTCTGTCAGTGCCAATATCACCGACGTTTTGTCTCTGACAGCAGTGTGTCTGTCAGTGCCAATATCACCGTTGTGGTGACTCTGACAGCAGTGTGTCTGTCAGTGCCAATATCACCCATGTGGTCTCTCTGACAGCAGTGTGTTTGTCAGTGCCAATATCACCGATGTGGTGTCTCAGACAGCAGTGTGCCTATCAGTGCCAATATCACCTATGTGGTGTCTCTGACAGCAGTGTGTCTGTCAGTGCAAATATCACCGATGTGGTGTATCAGACAGCAGTGTGTCTGTCAGTGCCAATATCACATATGTTGTGTCTCTGACAGCACTGTGCCTGCCAGTGCCAATATCACCCATATGGTGACTCTGACAGCACTTTCTCTGTCAATGTCGCTATCACCGATGTGGTGTCGCTGACAGCAGTGTGTCTGTCAGTGCCAATATCACACATGTGGCGTCTCTGACAGCAGTGTGTCTGTCAATGACAATATCATCCATGTGGTGTCTCTGACAGCAGTATGTCTGTCAGTGCCAATATCACCGATGTGGTGTCTCTGACAGCAGTGTGTCTGTCAGTGCCAATATCACCCATGTGGTGTCTATGGCACAGTGAGTCTGTCAGTGCGAATATCAACAATGTGGTATCTCTGACATCAGTGTGTCTGTCAGTGCCAATATCACCGATGTGGTGTCTCAGACAGCAGTGTGTCTGACAGTGCCAAATATCACCCATGTGGTGACTCTGACAGCACTTTCTCTGTCAATGTCGCTATCACCGATGTGGTGTCGCTGACAGCAGTGTGTCTGTCAGTGCCAATATCACACATGTGGTGTCTCTGACAGCAGTGTGTCTGTCAATGACAATATCATCCATGTGGTGTCTCTGACAGCAGTATGTCTGTCAGTGCCAATATCACCGATGTGGTGTCTCTGACAGCAGTGTGTCTGTCAGTGCCAATATCACCCATGTGGTGTCTCTGGCACAGTGAGTCTGTCAGTGCGAATATCAACAATGTGGTATCTCTGACATCAGTGTGTCTGTCAGTGCCAATATCACCCATGTGGTGTCTCAGACAGCAGTGTGTCTGACAGTGCCAAATATCACCCATGTGGTGTCTGTGACAGCAGTGTTCCTGCCAGTGCCAATATCACCGATGTGGTGTCTCAGACAGCAGTGTGTCTGACAGTGCGAAATATCACCCATATGTTGTCTCTGACAGCAGTGTGCCTGTCAGTGCCAATATCACCCATGTGGTCTCTCAGACAGCATTATGTCTGTCAGTGCCAATATCACCGATGTTTTGTATCTGACAGGAGTGTGTCTGTCAGTGCCAATATCACCGTTGTGGTGTCTCTGACAGCAGTGTGTCTGTCAGTGCCAAAATCACACATGTGGTGTCTCTGACAGCTGTTTGTCTGTCAGTGCCAATATTATCGACGTTTTGTCTCTGACAGCAGTGTGTCTGTCAGTGCCAATATCACCGTTGTGGTGTCTCTGACTGCAGTATGTCTGTCAGTGCCAATATCACTGATGTGGTGTCTCTGACAGCAGTGTGTTCGTCAGTGCGAAATATCACCCATATGTTGTCTCTGACAGCAGTGTGCCTGTCAGTGCCAATATCACCCATGTGGTGTCTCAGACAGCATTGTGTCTGACAGTGCGAAATATCACCCATATGTTGTCTCTGACAGCAGTGTGCCTGTCAGTGCCAATATCACCGATGTGGTGTCTCAGACAGCATTGTGTCTGTCAGTGCCAATATCACCGATGTTTTGTATCTGACAGGAGTGTGTCTGTCAGTGCCAATATCACCGTTGTGGTGTCTCTGACAGCAGTGTGTCTGTCAGTGCCAATATTACCGACGTTTTGTCTCTGACAGCAGTGTGTCTGTCAGTGCCAATATCACCGTTGTGGTGTCTCTGACTGCAGTATGTCTGTCAGTGCCAATATCACTGATGTGGTGTCTCTGACAGCTGTTTGTCTGTCAGTGCCAATATTACCGACGTTTTGTCTCTGACAGCAGTGTGTCTGTCAGTGCCAATATCACCGTTGTGGTGTCTCTGACAGCAGTGTGTCTGTCAGTGCCAAAATCACACATGTGGTGTCTCTGACAGCTGTTTGTCTGTCAGTGCCAATATTATCGACGTTTTGTCTCTGACAGCAGTGTGTCTGTCAGTGCCAATATCACCGTTGTGGTGTCTCTGACTGCAGTATGTCTGTCAGTGCCAATATCACTGATGTGGTGTCTCTGACAGCAGTGTGTTCGTCAGTGCGAAATATCACCCATATGTTGTCTCTGACAGCAGTGTGCCTGTCAGTGCCAATATCACCCATGTGGTGTCTCAGACAGCATTGTGTCTGACAGTGCGAAATATCACCCATATGTTGTCTCTGACAGCAGTGTGCCTGTCAGTGCCAATATCACCGATGTGGTGTCTCAGACAGCATTGTGTCTGTCAGTGCCAATATCACCGATGTTTTGTATCTGACAGGAGTGTGTCTGTCAGTGCCAATATCACCGTTGTGGTGTCTCTGACAGCAGTGTGTCTGTCAGTGCCAATATTACCGACGTTTTGTCTCTGACAGCAGTGTGTCTGTCAGTGCCAATATCACCGTTGTGGTGTCTCTGACTGCAGTATGTCTGTCAGTGCCAATATCACTGATGTGGTGTCTCTGACAGCTGTTTGTCTGTCAGTGCCAATATTACCGACGTTTTGTCTCTGACAGCAGTGTGTCTGTCAGTGCCAATATCACCGTTGTGGTGTCTCTGACTGCAGTATGTCTGTCAGTGCCAATATCACTGATGTGGTGTCTCTGACAGCAGTGTGTTTGTCAGTGCCAATATCACCGATCTGGTGTCTCAGACAGCAGTGTGTCTGTCAGTGCCAATATCACCCATGTTGTCTCTCAAACAGCAGTGTGTTTGTCTCAGACAGCAGTGTGTCTGGCAGTGCCAATATCACCGATGTGATATCTCTGACAGCAGTGTGTCTGCCAGTGCAAATATCTTCGATGTGGTGTCTCTGACAGGAGTGTGTTTATCAGTGCAAATATCACCCATGTGGTGTCTCAGACAGCAGTGTGTCTGTCAGTGCCAATATCACCGATGTGGTGTCTCTGACAGCAGTGTGTTTATCAGTGCCAATATCACCGATGTGCTGTCTCAGACAGCAGTGTGTCTGGCAGTGCCAATATCACCCATGTGGTGTCTCTGACGGCAGTGTTTCTGTCACTGGCTAACATCACCCATGTTGTGCCTCTGACAGGAGTGTGTCTACCACTGCCAATATCACCGATGTGGTGTCTCTGACAGCAGTGTGTCTGACAGTGCCAATATAACCGATGTGGTGCCTCTGACAGGAGTGTGTCTACCACTGCCAATATCACCGATGTGGTGTCTCTGACAGCAGTGTTTCTGCCAGTGCCAATACCACCGAGGTGGTGTCTCAGACAGCAATATGTCTCT